CACCCATCAAAGGGATCCCAAAAACCTCCAGCTGGACCCTACACCCACCAGTTGGACTCCAGGGCTGCCACCTGACCCTTCTCTCACAGCTGGACCCCAAGAGCTGCTGGCCACCTCCCCCCTGCTGTCACCCTGACCCCGAGCGTCCCCATCCAGACCCCAGACCCCTGAGCCACCCCCTCGGTGCCCCCAGGACCCCCGGAAGGCTCCGGGCAGACCTGCAGCGCTGCCAGCCCGTCCCGCTCAGCCCGGGTGGCCGCGGGGCTCCTTCGGGAATGCACAAATCTCCCGGCTCCGGTGCCTCGGCTGCCGCTGGAGCACGAGCGTGGCCCTCCCCGGGGGCACAGGGACCGAGGGGGCACCGCCGGTGCCCTGGTTCCCTCCGAAGGAGGGGTTTGGAGCGGGGGAGGCAGCGATTCCCGCGCTGCCCTTGGACTCACCTTGGCTCCCGGGATGCAAACACTAATTTCCCTCCGAGCAGCGTCTCTCTCTCTCTACTCCTGGTAAATTCCTCCAGTGCTTTCCCTGCGTTGCCTCTGCCGGCTGCGCACCGCGGCTGACATGGAGCCACGTGCCGGGAGGAAACCCTCCTTCACCCGCCTTTAACTCTGTCCCTCCCTCAAATCCTCAAACGCTGCCAGGCTTGGGGTTTCCCGGTGGGAAAGGCTTCCCATCTCCACCGTGCCGGGGGTCCTGGGACCACCACCAGCACCTGGGGCTGCGGGAAACCACCCACTGAGTTCCTGATATTGGGATCAGGGTGTGGGGAGTGATTTGGGATCTTGTCCCCGAGGTGAGTACAGCGCTCAATCCACCGGTGCAGGGAGGATGGGGGGGAAATTCCCTGAAGGACAGGGAAAACTGGGATGTGGCGGGTTGTGCACGGGGAAAGCTGGTGAGGAACAGGAATAGCCGAAAGAACTAAATATGGAAACTTGGATAAAACAGCGCTGAAGTAGGGAGATGGTTTCCTAACAGGGTTCAAAGCGTATAAACAAACTCAGGGAGGAGAGAGGTTGTCCAGAGGGGCCTTTGTGAGGAATAGTCGGGAAAACCAGCCGAAAATCTCTCAATAGGGGAGCGTGTTCCATCAAAGCAAACTTCCAGCTCTGTGGAGAAAGTGTCAGCCCTGGGAACATATTGTTTGGGGGGAAGAGATAGTGAAAACACCTGCCTCAGCCAGTGAAAAGATTCTCCTTACGTTTTTATTCCAACTGCCACATTTCCACGATAAAACAGGAAGTTTCACGGCGATGATAAAATAATAATGACGAAGTTTTATGTTCCTTTGGAAGTTTTTTGCCTGACCCTGGTTTTCTGCTCCGGGATCACCAACCTCACACCAGGAGGGACTCGGTGGTTTGTTCCTGCAGGTTTGAGATTATGGCACCAATCCCCTGGGAAGCGCCTCCCTGGAGTGGGGTGGGCAAAACCTCAGGTTTGGCCTCCTGCTGGGATCCCATCAGAGCTCTCCCATCTCCCATGTCTCTTAATTCCTTAAGGAGCTCAGCTCTCCGCTCTCTTTGCCGGCTCCTCACCACCTTCTCCTTTACCTTTTGGGTTCATGCCGGCGAAAAGGGGGTGGTTTAATGCGATTATTCCGGTAAAACCCCCGTAAGAGGATTCCCAGGGCTTGGCTTCACAGCCCTGCAGGGGCTATTGGGCAGCGTGTGCATGGGGATGAGCTGGATATGGGATAGTGGGAAGCCCGGGAGAGGCTTTGTAAGCTGAGCCAAACCGTGGTGTCCCTGCGAGGGTGACCCTGGGATCTGCAGCCCCCGGGGGTGCCACGTGCTGCCTTTCCCTGGGACAGGATGGACATTTCCAGTGGTGTGGATCCTGCTCACCCTGGAGAGAGGTGGATGGAATAGGCAGCAGAAACACAGAGAAGAGGTAGGAATTTCGGGGGTCCCGGGGCTGTCTGGAGGGTCTTGGAGCTGCTCTGGGGCATCCTGGAGCTTCCCAGGGGACTCTCTGTCTTCCCAGAGGGGTCCTGGGGCTGCTCCCGGGGCATCCTGGAGCTTTCCAGGGGATTCTGAGGTTGCCCAGGAGGTCCTGGAGCTGCCCCAGGGCCGAGCATTAGGGGAGGGAGAAGCTGCACCTCGTGATGGGTTATGGGGAGAGGATGGTTGAGGCCAGGACTGGGCAAACCCAGTGTGTATTCCCGGGAATAACCGTGCCCTGGGAAGGTGCCAGGCTGTGGGATGAGCCCGGGTGGGCACAGGGGCTCCTCCCCTTGGCCCTGCTGGACGTTCCCACTGGGATGAGCTGTCGGTGCTGTGTCAGCTCCGCAGCTCGTCCCACTTCCAGCAGGAGAAGGAGCCGTGTGGAGAGGCTGGAAAACCTCCTCTCACCCTCCTGCAGGAGCAGGGGGGGTCACGTGTGCTCACCAGTGGGATACTGGGAGAGCCAGAGTGCTGGGCCAGGCAAGAGGCACCCGGGCACCATCTGCTTCTCCCTGGGATGCTGCAGGCACCGGGAAAGTCACTGGGATCCAATCCCAGCTCCGAGCTGGGAGCTGCATCCTCTCCCCACTGCCAGCACTGAACTGGGAATACTGGGAATGGAGCCTCCCAGTTAGTGCTGGGCTGAGCACCTCGTCTGCAGCTCTGGAAGTTCAGAGATTTCCTGACTCAGAGGGGTTTTGCTGATTTGTGTCGTCTCTTCCCCAGGGATGGAGGGCTGGGAGAGCAGGATTCCTCTGGGAGCTCCCCTCTGGATGAGAAAAGGTAAAAGCACCTCTGTTCTGGGTTCAAACCTCAAACTACCCAGGTGCAAAAGGTGAGCCACAGCCCCAGGGCTGGGACTGGATCATCCCTGTCATCCCTCAGGCCTTTTGGTTTCCTAAGGAATCTTCTGGCAACACCCAAACCATCATCTCTCCCGAGTCAAATTATCTTTCTGGGGTTTAATTTCAAAGCAGAGACAAGGTTTCTACGGGGGCTTCAAAAATCTGTGTCCAGGCAGATAAATACTCTTATTAAACATCCTTAAATTTATCATAGGGATGTTCCCCAACTAGAAGAGGCACCGGGTGGGATGTGGCACAAAGGGTCGGGAAAAATGGGCCCCAAAATCTGGCCCTAAATAGCCTCCTTTTCCCTAAAAAATCTACAAGGCAGCGTTTCCATACCCATAAATAATTTAAATCCAGGTTTTCCTTTGCTTGTGGATCATTGCCCCGGAGCAACAGCCTGTTTGGGACGAGTCCAGAGCCCCGCTGGAACGGGAGTCCCGGGGGACGGCGGGGGCTGAGCTGGGAAGGGCCAGGCCTGTCCCTGCTGCTCTGAGAGACGGTTTTCCTCCGTGTCAAACAAATCCAGCCCTCCCAAATCCGGCCCTGGGGTGCAGTTGGAGCAGCAGAGCCCCTCAGGGAGCGTGGGAGGGATCAGCTGAGCAGGTGGCAGGTGCTGGGGAAGCGCAAACTCAACGAACCGCCACCGGATTTATGCGAGCGCCGATAAAGCCGAGTGGAAAAACACTTTCTTCTTTCCTTTTTTTTTTTTTTTTTCCCCTCTTTCTTGTTTTCCTTGGCTCCTCCACGTTCTGGGCAGGCTGACAGGGAGCTCTGTGTTTGCTGGGATCCTTCTGGGGAAGCTGAGCAGCTCCAGACAATGGATCTGTTGCTGCCGAGGGAGCAGGTGGGAAGGAAACAGAGCTACAGGCACGAAAGGATCCAGTGGGAGGAGGAAGAGGAGGATTGTCCAGAAATCCCTGGAGTGGGGCTGGATCTTGGCAGGAGGAACAGCTGGGTGGTTTGGCAGCTGGGCCTGGCAGCACTGTCAGCAGCAGGGCTGGTTAAATGGTCTATAAACAAGGCATTTTGAAGGGGAGTGCTGGGGATTGTCACCCTCCACGCTGCAATAGGAGGGCGGCTCAGAAATTAGGGAATTAAAAAAAAAACAACCCCAAACTGTAGCAGCCATTAGGGTGGTGAGGGGCTGGAATGAATTTCCCAGAGAAGCTGAGGCTGCCCCATCCCTGGAATTGTCCAAGGCCGGGCTGGATGGGGCTTGGAGCAACCTGGGCTGGTGGAAGGTGTCCCTGCCCCGGGCAGGGGGTGGAACAGGATGATCCTTCATGTCCCTTCCAACCCAAAGCACTCCGTGATTCTACGACTTTTATTTCTCTTGGCTGCCTTGCAAGTGCCCTGAGTTGCAAGACTTCCAATAAAACTGCAGGAATTTGCTGCAAGACATTTCCCACTCCGGTGCCAGCACGGAGCCTCCGGGGCAGCCGAGCTCCGAGAGCGGCCGCAGAACTCGGTCCCATTTCCTACATTTGGGCAAAAGTCACGGGACAGAAACCACAGATCCCAACTCCCTGTGTCCGTGGGATGCAGGGATTGCAAGGATGCAGGAGGGATTTCATCCTCTTGCACAGGGAGCACAGCAAAACACTGTGCCAGAAGCTGCCCCAGCAGTTTTGGGAAGGGTGACTTGGAAGTGCAGCAGCCACGTGGGACCCGACTTTCCTTTCCCACCTCAAATGATGTTTAAAGTGATAAACGATGATTTTATATCATGAAAAACTAGATTTAAGAATTACATAAAAAAAGAAACCTTTCTAGATGCCAATTTGGGCACAGAAAGGAGGCGAAGATGGAGTCGCTTCTAAGGAAAAGTGATTTTTTTCATGGGAAAAATCCCGAAGCAGGATGAGTCACCCCTCAGTGTGCCATGTCCCGGAGCCAGCAAAGCCATCCCTGGGAATGGGAGAGCTGGCTGTCCCTGGGAATGGCAGAGCTGGCTGGAGCAGAGCACAGACTTTTGCTTGAACCGGCTCCAGGGTGGCAGGAGAAAGTCGTCCTGTGCTGATGGATCCGAGCCCTTGGCCAGCTCGGCCAGGTTGAACTTGGCCAGCTCTCAGGGCTGGGACAGCAGGGCTGGAAGTGTCCCTGGATGAGCCCAAAAGGCTCAGGGAGGGCAGGGCTGAGGAGCTTTGTTGCCAGGGACATGCTGGTTAAGCAGAGCTGCTGTCACACGTCTGTACAGCGAGGGAAAAAAACGATGGAAATGGAAAAAAAAAAATACTAGGAAATTGCTTTTTTACTGCTATATTTATTAAAACAACTAATCTGTTAGAGGTATGGAGAATTGCAGTGATTACTGGGAATTCCTGCTCCTCTTCCCTTTTTGGTTCTGGTTCTGTTTGGGTTTCTTTTTCTGAAGAGCAGCTGCCTCGACTCTCTGCTCAAAGAGAGGGAAAGGATCTCTAATTACTTTCTCTATTTATTTCAGTAACATTTCCCCCCAAGGACATGAACAACCAGAACTCCGTGGTGGACCAGATATGTACGATGACATGAGTTATTTTCCTTTTGTGTGCATATATAGTTAAACTATACAACAGGATTCACTGAGTCAATCCAGTTACTACCTATTTATGGCATTGTTATTATTATTATTATTATTATTATTATTATTATTATTATTAATATGATATTCCAAATTATTATAATAAAAATTCAAACATTATCATTATTATTATTATTATTATTATTATTATTACATTCCAAAAATCCCTTTAAAATTCCCCAGAATATGCCAAATTCTGGCCTGGAGTAAGTTCATTGAGGGTAATCACTCTCTTTATCCAGCATCTTTAATGGATTTATCCACCACCCAGTTTATTACAAGCACGCTTCACAGCGAAACACCCCAGGCTTCCTGCTCGTTTTACAAAAGAAACACCTGGAAGTTGGCCTTGGGAGAGGCCTAACGCTTGGGAGCCGCGGCCCGCAGGGGTGTCGGACAGGACGGACTTATCCCAGAGGGAGGGTCTGGCCGCCCCTCGAGGCTCGGCCGCTCCCCGTTCGTTCCCCTCACACCGGGTCCGGTCCTTCCCCTCACCCGCCATTGCCCCTCCCGCCCCCGACGCTCTCGCGAGATCTCCGCCGGGTCACGCGCCCGCCGCGGCCCGTGGAGGCGGGCGGGGAGGGGGGGGAAGAGGGCGGAGCCTCCGCCCCGCCGCCTCACGGCCCCGCCGCCATCTTGTTTCTCGGCCGCCGGGCGCTCACTCCGCTCCGGTCGCCCCCCCTTCACCCCCCGCCTCTTTCCCCTCCCGCCTCCCGCCGCCGAGCCGCGCCGGAGGCAGCGCGGGCGCCGCGCGGAGCAGCGGGAGGTCGCGGCGCGGGCCGCCCCGGTGAGTGCGCGGGGAGGGCGGCGCGGGGGAAAGCCCGTGAAGGGGGCGCGGGGCGGGGGCGGCCCGTGAGAGGGGTCGTCGCGGGCTCTCTCCCCCCCCCCCCCCATCCCATCCCCTCCACCCCAACGGCCGCGCGCGGCGATTGGCCGGGGCGCGGCGCGCGCGCTGATTGGCCCGCGCGGGGGGAGGCGGGCGCGGAGGGCCGGGCGCTGATTGGGCGGCGCGGGGCGGACCGGGGAGAGGACTGGGAACGGACCGTTGTCCCGCGCGCGCGCGGCCCGGGGGGGGGTCGGACCGGGCCGGGGGGAACCGGGGCCGGATCGGGACCCCCCGGGCCGGGGGTGAGGTGGGACCGGCACAGGTTGCCCAGAGAAGCTGTGGATGCCCCATCCCGGGAAGTGTCCAAGGCCAGGTTGGATTCGGCCTTGAGCGATCTGGGGTGGTGGAAGGTGTCCCTGCCCGTGGCAGGGGGGTGGAACTGGATGGGCTTTAAGGCCCTTCCCAACCCAAACCATTCTGGGATTCTGTGATTCCAAGGCCTGTTGTGATCCTGACCTGTCTGGAGAAGAGGGTGGGAAGAGGTAGAGAGGAACTCGGGTGTTTAGGTTTAGATTAGAGATTGGGAAGAAATCCTTCCCCATGAGGGATGTGAGGCCCTGGCACAGGTTGCCCAGAGGAGCTGTGGCTGCCCCATCCCTGGAAGTGTCCAAGGCCAGCTTGGAGCAACCTGGGAGAGTGGAAGGTGTCCCTGCCCATGGCAGGGGGTGAAGCTGGGTGATCTTCAAATTCCCTTCCAACCCAAACAATTCCATGATTCTCTGATTTTATTTTACCAAACTTTGGGGGTTTTTTGCCCCACAAGCCTTAAGGAGCTGCTCCAGACTCTGCCACAGTGCTTGGCAGAAAGAGGGGAGAGGCAGCTGTGGGTCTCTGGTAATACCCGAGGGGTTGTTTAATCTGTGTTTAAAACCTAAAAGCACCAAGAGCTGTGAAGACACTTGCACACAAATATGGTTTTCCTAAATCCTGCTTTTTCCTGAGCTGAGGGAATAAAAGAAATGTCCCGAGTACCTGGTAAAGGTCCATACACTGCAAGCAGTGTGGGTGTGGCCTGGATCAAAGGGAATTCTTTTGGCCTGGTGGGATTTCACTCAGGTCGGTTCCTTCTCCTGCTGCAGCATTCCCTGGGCAGGTGTTTGGGGGGTCAGGGCTGGTGGGGGGTGCAGGACAATGGGGGTGACAGTGTTGGCTTTTGTGGTGGCTGAGCTGTGTTCCAGGGCCAGCTCCAGGACCTGGAGCTCTGGCAGACTTTGGGTTTTCACAGAAGAAACAACAGTGACTCTTTATAGCACCCTTTGAGACCCTTGTCTTGTGCAGTGACATATTCTCCATGTATTTAGGAAGAAATCTTGCCTGTCTCCATTGCAGGCTGAGCATGGGTGATTAAAAACCTCATCTGGCTGAGCTTGTGGTTCCCTTTCCCTCCAGTCCTACAAAACTTCCCTCCTGGGCCATCCCACATCCCTGGCTGCCGTTGCCCTTGGCAACATCCCTTGTCTTTTCTTAGGTTTATCCCTGCCCTCCTTAAATGAGGTGCTGTTTTTGGACTGGGCTATTCCTGCTGGGTCTGTTTGTCCTCAGGTGATCCGGGCTCTGTTCCAGCCTCGGCTTTACCTGGGCCCAGGTACCGTCCCTGGGGCGTTGTGGTGACACCCTGGGGTGGGATGTCACACCAGGCTCTGCCATAACCAGGGACAGCACCCAGGGAATGTCTGGAGCTGTGTTAGGATGGATCTCAGGGAAAGGTTCTTCCCCCAGAGGGTGGTTGGCACTGACCAGGCTCCCCAGGGCAGTGGGCACAGCACCGAGGCTGCCAGAGCTCCAGGAGGGTTTGGATGATCCTCTCAGGGATTGTTGGGGTGTCTATGCAGGGCCAGGAGTTGGACTGGATGGTCCTTGTGGGTCCCTTCAACTCAGGATATTCTGTGATTCTACATTTTGGGGTGAACACGGAGTTTTTGGTCGAGGCTCAAAGTCAGCCCTTGAGCCCCTGGTTCCGGGTGGGAATGAGGTGAGATCCCACCAGTTCCCTGGGAGCTGTGGTTGCCTGGGGACCTTGGGCTGGGTCATTCCTGGCTGCTCTGGGCCTCATTATTTTGTCCTTTCCCAAGATAAACCCTGTTTGTCCCTGTTTGTTCTCCTGCCCCACAGGGATAATGTGCAGGGACACATTCCTTGGAAAGGCACAGCCTGCAAAGGGCAGGGACAGGTGAGGGAGTTCAGGACGTTCCTTTCTCCTTGTTTTCCCAGTAGCTCTAGTTCACATAATCCCAGAATTGTTTGGGTTGGAAGGGACCTTAAAGATCTCCAGTCCCACCCCCTGCCATGGGCAGGGACACCTTCCACTCTCCCAGGTTGCTCCAACCTGGCCTTGGACACTCCCAGGGATGAGGTAGCCACAGATTCTCTGGGAAATTCATTCCAGCCCCTCCCCACCTTCCCAGGGAAGGATTCCTTCCCAATTTCCCATCTAACCCTGCCCTCTGGCAGTGGGAAGCCATTCCCCCTTGTCCTGTCACTCCAGGCCTCTCCATCCTTTTTTGTCCATTCCCTTCAGATCCTGGTTAAGTCTTTCCAGCAGGATTTCAGCAATTCCCAGGTGTCACCTCAACCCTTTGTGGTTCCAGAGCAAGAACAGCTGCAATGATTGAAATAAACCCTTTACAGTAGGGCTTCCCAAATTATTTTAGTGGGGTCTTCCCCACAAATTTGGGACTTCCCAAAATTAATTTAGGTGGGTTTTTTCCCCCCTTTACTCATCCCAAAATTGATGAGTTTTCACTGTCATGTAGAATTATGAAATGCTCTGTGAGCAGCAGCTCAGTGGCTGTGCTGGGTTGTTCCCGGGGCTGTTCCCGAAATTCCTGTGAGCAGAAGAGTGACAGGGGGGTCCCTTGGGATGTGACAGAGCACACGGGAATGTGTTTGGGCAGTCGGAATTCCAACCAGGCATTCCTGTGCTCCGAAGGAAGGGTGCTGGGGCTGCTGGGGTTTGTTTTTCATACCACCAAAAGTACCTCACATACCTCCAATAGTCAGAATTCCACAGCTTCCAGGCCCAGGCTTTTATCTGAGGAATGACACAGGAAGAGAACAGAGTGTATTTATTTATTTTAAAGTCATGTTTTAACCACTTGTATTGACCAAACCACCGGAAAGGTCTATTTTTAAATTAATCTCCCCTCGCTATCAGATTCAAACTGATTTAATCTGCAGGACTAGTCGAGCCTTGGCTGTGCTTCCCAATATTTTTTCCTCTGGATAATCCCGTCAGCACGTTATTTCCAAGCAGTAAACGATGTATTGGAATGCTGGAAATCCCTTGGGGTGTTGTGGATAATCCGCTGGGAATTGCGTGTCCGTGGGATAAAACACGGACAGAGCACGACATTCCCAGCTTTCCATCCGATCCAGAGGGGTGTTGGAGGCTCGGGGAGGGCGAGGCTGGTGTGTGGTTAAAGCTGTGCAGGGGAATTGTAGGTGTTTGTGGGTGGGAATGCCGGGAATGTCAGAGGGATCCGGGGCTGTGCCGGGGCAGCACCTGCCGAACCAGGGAATTTGGAAAGAAACCTGTGGGGTTTTTTCTCATCCTGTGGGTTATTTGTTGGTCTCTGGAGACACGTGGGAGTGTCAGTGTGTGATCCAGGGTGGTTTCTGTGGGGATAACGGCCAAGGAATATGTGCCTGTTCCACCAGGAGGTCTCAGTGGGTCAGGGAAGGATCCTGCCCCTCTGCTCTGCCCTGGGGAGGCACATCCAGAGCTGTGTCCAGGTCTGGGCTCCTCAGGATGAGAAAGACCAGGAGCTGCTGGGGAGAGTCCAGCGGAGGCCACAGAGATGATTTGGGGTCTGGAGCATGTCTGGGATGAGCAGAGACTGGGGGAGCTGGGCCTGGTCAGTCTGGAGAGGGGAAGGCTGAGAAGGGATCCATCAATCCCTATAAATATCTCATCAATCTATGTAAATGTCTCACCAATCCACACAAGTATCTCCAAGGGGTGTCAGAGGATGGTCCCAGACTCTGCTCAGTGGTGCCCAGTGACAGGACAAGGAGCAATGGCCATGAACTAAACCACAGCCAAGTTCCACCTCAACCTGAGGCAGAACTCCTTCCCATGGAGGTGGCAGAGCCTGGAACAGCTGCCCAGGGAGGGCTTGGAGTCT